AGGTTCGTACTCGACCTCGTTTTGGAGTAAAACGAATTTTGCCGAGGTTCGTACTCGACCTCGTTTTGGAGTAAAACGAATTTTGCCGAGGTTCGTACTCGACCTCGTTTTGGAGTAAAACGAATTTTGCCGAGGTTCGTACTCGACCTCGTTTTGGAGTAAAACGAATTTTGCCGAGGTTCGTACTCGACCTCGTTTTGGAGTAAAACGAATTTTGCCGAGGTTCGTACTCGACCTCGTTTTGGAGTAAAACGAATTTTGCCGAGGTTCGTACTCGACCTCGTTTTGGAGTAAAACGAATTTTGTCGAGGTTCGTACTCGACCTCGTTTTGGAGTAAAACGAATTTTGCCGAGGTTCGTACTCGACCTGGTTTTGGAGGAAAACGAATTTTGCCGAGGTTCGTACTCGACCCGTTTTGGAGTAAAACGTATTTTGCCGAGGTTCGTACTCGACCTCGTTTTAGAGTAAAACGAATTTTGTCGAGGTTCGTACTCGACCTCGTTTTGGAGTAAAACGAATTTTGCTGAGGTTCGTACTCGACCTCGTTTTGGAGTAAAACAAATTTTGCCGAGGTTCGTACTCGACCTCGTTTTGGAGTAAAACGAATTTTGCTGAGGTTCGTACTTGACCTCGATTTGAAGTGAAACGAGTGTTGCAGATATATATATATATATATTATTGTGCATATATTTAGATATTATTTATATATCAATTCTAGATAATTAGTTGATTATTTTTTTATTAAAAATAATTAAATCATTAAATATAAGAATTATGCAATTCGTTACACTAAAATTCTCCTCAATGGATGGCTTTGGGCTATCAATTACATGGAAAATGTTGACAGCGTATTTGTTATAGTCATCCTGAGTGTTTGCATTACATATTCATATTTGTCAATTATTTCTTTTTTTTATATAATTATTTTCTTTTATAGAATCAAATTATCATATTCAACCTAACAATTTAAAATTTGAGAAATTTGAATTGACTTATCCAAACAAAATATTTTAAGAATGATAGACATTGAAATCAAAGTAATTCAAATACCAATAATTTAAAATTCCTTGAATTTGTAAAATTCCTCATCCAAACACACCATTAGATGAATTGAAATAGACTTTGAGAGTAATCTCTTGAGAAACTAACCTCTTCGCAGGTGTCTCCGCACAAACTTAAAAATTGAATTTTTGACCATAAAATTAAGAGATATTGTTATTTGTTAATACTTAATCGTATCACATCATGCCGGGTTTTAGAATTTAATTTAAATGTATCGTTAAAAAGGGTTATAAGTATTTTAATGATATTTTTATATTATTTAATAAATTTGACATCTCCCAAAATTGTTAGCATGAAATTTTATCCTGATAATAATTCCTTTCGTAAATAAGTTGGTCTACACAGATATGATCTTATAAAAATTATGGACAAAATTTAAATTATTTTTCTTTTCCAAAACAAAAAACCTTTATTAAAGTGATTAGGATAGGATAAGGCATCTACATTCTACAAGGACAAATTTTAGGATTCGCCGTTTAGGTAAATTCAAATTTTGTCTTTTTATAAGGATAACTAATATTTTTAATTAGAATCCATTTTTATCATTAGCCGCTAAATTCTACGCAGGAACTAATTACAAATATGATATAATCTATTATCATATTGATAGAAAAATAAACAATTTAATTTAAAAACTACATGATAAAATGAATACTTAAATTATAAATAAATAAACGTATCACAACTAATGTAATATTTCGTATATTAACTGAAACATATTTGAACTTGTAAACATTATTTACTAATCATATTATTACGTTGATTTTTTTTTTTAAATTATGCTCAAATAAAATATTGATATTCAATTATTTGGGTCATGCATCGATTATGGGCTTAAATTAGTCTGGGATAGAGACTTTGGTGGGAGAATTTTAGTAAAGTTTTTACCTTGGGAGTAAATTTTTAAACGAGGGATGTTGTCGACATAATTCATGTTATACTATGATTAACAAAATTGCGAATCTAATTAATGATCGACAATATGTGTCTTCTTGTCTTAAACCCATATATTTAGAGAAGCAAATCAAGTTGTGGAAGCGCTTGTTAAGCGTGAAAGTTCTATGACGGAAGGAATGTATATTTTCTTTAATTCTCTTCCTTGAATTCAAAACCATCTTCATGATGATATTTTTATTGTATTTTTCTTTTGTGGTTTGAAGTTTGGACTTCTAGCTCCTTTTTGTTAAAAAAAAAAAAAAAACTTAACAAATATAATGGTTTATTCAAGTTGTATATTTCTATATAGCTAACTATCAATTTTAGTCATAATTAATTTTTATATTAGTTTATCATTTTAATAATGGTTTATTCTACTACACCTCAACATATAGACAATAACAACCCCTCAATGCTCTCCTTGAAGCTACATGTAGATCTTAATCATTGATAGCCACTAAAATCTAGGTAAGTCAAATATAATATAGGGTGTGTTTTGTTACCCATTTCAAAGCATTGAAATGTGTATTTTCACTTTCTAATGCATAAAATTCAAAAGTAACAAGATTATTGTTTTGAAGTAAAAGTGAGTTGCATTGAACTTAACTTTTATCCAAGCACATACATAGAGTCACAACACTTGAGTGGAGTGAATATAGTTTTGGATGGAAGTTACAGTACTGTTAATTCCTATCCAACATGTTTTCCAAAAGTTTTATGCTAATTAAACCCTACTTGTAAGATTTATCTTCTGGGTTACTCAAACAGAGTGCCTCTATTCAAGTGTATTGTAATATTCATCTTGAATATTTATATTTGTATATTATCTCTTTTTAATTTTAATTTTATTGTATTTGTAGGAGGAAATACCATTTATCTCCCACAAATAAAAGTCAAAAGATCTACCAAATTGTAGTCCCGAATCACATAGTTCCAAATGAATCTCTATATAACATATAATCGTTACCTAATGATTAGGTGAGACCATGGATATTAGATAGTCCCAATCTACTTAATAAAGTAATAATTCACCCTAACCCTCACACTTGTCAAATTATTTGATATAAAATATTCACTTCATTTAAAATTTTAAAATTTGTCCCCTTTCAATCTTATTGGGTAACTTGGCTTTGGACTTTGCGGAAATATTGGACCTATGGTAATGATATAAAGATAATATTACTAGAGCAGAGATTATGACTCCTCTTTAATAGCATAAAGAGGGTGATGGAATAGAGATAAATCTACCGTGGGTACAGCACCGTTGTATGTTTAATTATGCACAAGGTAACCAAAAAAGAATTATAAAAAAAAATATCACAATATGTTAATTAACAAAGATTACCGCTCCATAAAGTTGTTTTTCTCATGGCATATGAACAATGATTAAAACTGCATTACACCAAAGGAGAGGAACTATATCAAACGCATGCAATACTTTACTCGCTGGAATTTGCTAGCCCAACCATTTTGAGCATATTGCGATCTTCCTTGAACCTCTCCAGAACAGTGCCCTTGACCGCATCATTCTTGTCTTGTGCCGCATCTTGTGTCACTCCCCAGCATTCTATTACATCTGGCAATATACGGTTAGCCTTGGAGAGGCAAGGGCTACCAAACGTAGAACATGAAAACGTGTGTCCTTGATCGAAGTTTGCTGAGAGAAACAAACCGAAGTGATTGACTCTCCCCCCAAAACCAATGCCATTTGGAATGTCCTCTGAACTGAAGTTGATAGCGCACTACAATACATGGACATTCAACAATTAAGAGAGAATAAAAATCTTGTAACTAATAGGTTAGCAAATTAGCTATCTAACTCAACTGGAAAAAATCCAATGCAAAGTGTAGAGTGTGATAACTATTATGCCTGTGGGAATGCATGGAATCTAGCCAAGTCTTTCAGCCTTCCTTTTACAGTTGATAAGTGATAACCATCTTACAACATCACCTAATGGGACAGACACATCATTTCTTTTGTTCTAGTTGCAGCATCAATGTTACTTAATAATGAGATCAGGGTTTATTAATCACAGTTCAGAATATAATATGGGGATGTTAAAACCAGCATATAGGAACTGAGGAACAAGTAGACAGTAGTTACCCATTGTAGGTTATTGTTTGCTCCAGTCGGCCTGAATATAGATGCCACTGGATTTAGTTGAAAAAGGTAACATTTCATGTCTCCATAAAAATCAGCATGCCTCTCCCACGGTTGAGAACCATACCCTCCATATATATAACCTTCTTTATCCTTAATAATTAACACGGTTGGGCCTGCATGATTTCTGCAGTTAAAATTAAAGAGTTAAATATGCATTCCAAATTTCCAATCCTACATAGAGCTTAGTTGGAGTAGCACAGAAACTGAAATAAATATTTTGTAGATAAAAAGAAACTGAAATGAATTTAATTGGCACTTTTAAAATTTACAACCTTAGACAACAACATAGGTCAGTAAAGTGGCAAACTATGCCTCTTTCTAATCAATCTTATCATAATAGTAATAATAAATTGAGTTAATCACCTATACACTGCCAGTGTAAAGTTTTTTTACACTGGCAACCAATTATATTTCTTAATTGTGCCATGTCACTGTTAAAAGTAAATGTGTTTACAGTGACATGGTACAATTAAGAAATATAATTAGTTGCCAGTGTAAAAAAACTTTACACTGACAGTGTATAGGTGATTAACTCTAACAAATTAGTTACTTTTACATGATAGGTAAGCCTTTAACTTTGTATTGTAATAACAAGGCTCCTAATATAGTTAAACCTATGCATAGCTATTGAATTGTAAAACTAATAACAATAAACACAACTTTAGTCCATGTGTAGTACCAAACGCTAGCTAAGTTTTGGATATCTCAAATGAACACTCAATTTATTTATTTATTTATTTTGAGGAATATACCATGCATTAAATGCACTAAAGAGAGACAGCATTACAATCAGCCCACGAAGCCTTCAAACACTTCAGAGGATACTCAATATTTAAATAAACGGGAGATATTCTTATAGTAAAAAGAATGTGTCTGACCCGAAAGTCATCTTGTGTTCTGTTTCTTCTAGATTTAACCCCGTTGATTAATTAAAAGGTCAAGCCATTCACAATATCCTTAGGCCTAACTTCTGCAATTTTTGTCTTTATGCACATAGTTGCCAGAAAAAAATTTAGAGCAGTAGGAAGCTTCAAAGGCAAAAAATGTACTTACGAAATGTTGCCCAAGAATGTATTAAAACTAAGACCATTAACAGAGCTATGATACAAAAGCTTCCAATCTTCCACGTCATGCTGAGAAAGAGCGCCTCCAATATGCCAAGCATATTCTTTTCTCAAAAGTATAATGTTAGAATCAATAGCTTTTGAGGTCAGTAAGTTAGGAATTTGAGAACCAGGTCGTCCTAGAAAAAAGCAAAACACTGGAATAAGAAAATATGCTAATCATTTACCCTGAACTTATTCAAAAGAATCAAAACTAATCCAGTAGCATTTTATATTAAAAGATGGTACTAAAATGAACACAGTCAAAATGTTCAGCATATAGTTTGATGAAATTGCATGTCTGTGCAACGGTCTAATAAAAACAGAGTACTTTGCAAACATGGTTAGCAAATACATAAATTTACAATTTACATAACTATGTTTTTGGTAATTAGCAGAATAATTCACAAGATTCAGTATCGTGCAAAAAAAATTTCTTAGGTCACCAGTATTTTATTTAGTCAAGCTGCTAGCATGTAATGTATACACAGATCACCACCATCAATTGCTATACATGTAACGTTACTCAATAATTATTCTATTAGAAGAATGATCATTACTCTGGTCAAAATGTTTTCATTTTAAGAAGATCAATAAAATTGCAGTAAAATTATTTTAGGCTTCTAATAAGAAGCCTACAACATCAACCGAGCATTATTCCATAGTATGGGGTTGGTAACATGAATCAATAAATGCCACTGGGCTCTATCAAACACCAAAATTTCATTGAATCACAATAGCCTTTCCAGTTTCCAATGGTTTCTCCTCCTAACAATGAAATTAACCACATTATTTTGTCAAGTCTTAATCAACAATAAAACACAGCACCCTATTTCTTCTAACTATACCTATGCACCAGATTTTAAATCCTGAGGTGTCTAACTCCTTAGCATTTTTTCATCCCGCATGATTATTTGAAGGCATATAAAGTTAATCCTCCTAATCATGAGGTCAACCACTTCACCTACAGGTTTTTCCAATATTTAAAGTTCTAATCATTTATGACCCATCCAAGGATATCACACTACTTAACAATACATCTGGATGCTAATAAAGTAGCTATTGTATAGTTGACCCATGCCAAAAAGGCTAAACAAAGTTTTACATCGTCTGTTGACTGCCCAACACAGCTCCCATCCAACTTCGGGACAAACCAAGTAAAATTTGGGGGAGGAAACTTATCATAATCAAAGGCAAAGTTTGATAAGCATGAAACTTCAAACCCAATCAATCTGCACTTCATCTGCTCATAATCATAACTCTGTGGTCATGATCTTGTTGTGTCATACGTCAGATAATCTTGCAAGAAATTAAGTCTATAAAAAAATGTTGAAAATTAAGTGCAGCAATACCTGAATCAGGTGGCAAAAGCAGGCTTCCAAGAAGCTTCTTAACAGATGGAAGATGAGTACACCAGCTTTTGAAATCTTCAAAAGACATAGTCTCCTCAGTGCCTCCTCCATCGTGCATGGAGAATTTTGCAGCATTCAGAAATATGTTGACAATGTCCTGATGTGAACTTGATCTATCCTCAGATCCTTTTATGCATAATATATCATTAAAAATGGAAATCATAACAGTTTCCAAATCAGATCTGCATATTCAATGTAACATATTTACATGAATATAAAAGGGGTAAAGAAATGCAAAAGAATATTTAACATGACATTTTAACTGGATAAAACTACAGGCATAAACTAAAACTTCCAACATATTATAGTCCTTTGTTAGAAATAGAAACATAAACAGAACATCGACAACACTACTTCTAAAGAAGTATCACTTCTAGAACTGAATCACAAAGTTCAGCCAATTTATTTTAAAAAAAAAAAAGGTTTAGATCCAAGGAATGAAACTCCACTGCCCGAAAAAGTATAGTACTTGTAGAATAATTTCACAGACCGAGACATATCTAGATATAAAGTGACTTAAGTTCACTTCTCCGTGAAGAACAATAAATGAATTCAAATAGCAGATTAGTAAACTAGATTCATTGCTCAATTATTTTGCACAAAATGGAGGCTTGTGTATGATCAGACTCGCATCCTACCTCCCTACAAAATTATCTCCAGATACATCTAATAAGCGAAAGATGAATTCTTCAATTTCATCTTTTGTTCCTTTCTCATAAGTAGCCTGCAACATGAAAAAAAAAAAAAACCAATAAATACATTGGATACATGACACCATGTTAAATATGTCCTAATTTTGAGACAATACCGACAAAAAACGATGATGATAGCCAAGAACTCACTTTAGCAACAACGAGGTCTTCAAAGGTTAACCTCTGGTCCTTGCGCTCTTGAGTAACCAAATCAAACATCCTCTCCCCAAGAGGGCCATGGAGTCTAAAATATGACTACAGCCCCAAAAAAAAAAAATTATGGTTTTTAGAAGGATAATAACATGTGGATTATTGAGAAGACAATTAATCATTGAACAAAGAATTAAGAACCTGAAAAACGGAGGGAGAGATGTGTTTGGCGTTGGTCTGGGATTGTGCTGCCAGATGATTGAACAGAGACCTTAAGTCTTCAAGTTCCTTTTGAGTAAAAGCTCTGCAATGATTTTCATTGGAGGTTAATCTATGGAAATTGAATTTCCGTCAAAAAAAAATGAAAAAGAGGAACCTTGCTGCAGAAACATATCGAGGATCATTTTTGGGAGGTGACTGAGCGTTGCCCATTGCTTGCTGTGATTTCAGTCCAGAGTTTCGTAATTCCCTTTCACGCTATTTCTCTTCCAATCCCCAATCAAGTTCTCAAAATACACTGCTACGTCTGAAATTCTCCATGATTCGTATTGGTATGCAAGTCTCCTAGGAAGTTTTGTTAACTTCTTCATCAAAAATTAAAAAGGAGAAAAAATTAGTACGTAGTATTAGCTTTAGTTACAATTTTTCACTCCAAAATTACGCAATATCATACTAGTATTTTGATTATACAATAGTATCATATAAAATAGGGTAAAAACTTATTTTAGTCCATTATTTCAATTTAGTTCTACTATCATATAAAATATACTAGATGCATACGTGAATACCACGTGGACGCTAAATTTTGTAAAAATACCTAGAACCAGAGTTTTAAAACGAGTCGTTCTAGATACACTTTTGGTGTGTTAATTTTGCATTTGAAATGGGTCGTTCTAGATGCAAAATTAACACACTACCAGTACATCAGAACGGGACGTTCTGAAACCAGAACGGACCGTTCTGATTTCAGAACAGGCCATTCTGGATTCAAGACCTAATTGAGCATGGATGAGGGTAGGGGAATCCGCCACCAAACCAACAGGAGCAGAGGTGCATAGGTGATAAAGGCCATGAAACTCACATCCGGTGCCAATCATCCGTCCTGAACTCCGGTCCTGTAAGAAAACAGAATCTTTAGTAAAAGAAATAAGGCAATCAAGAGAACGAGTAAGACGACTAAGGGATAATAAATTAAAGGGAGACTCTGGGACATAAAGGACATTGTCAATGGAGAGAGAAGGAGAAAG